CAAGAGTCAAAAATATTGTCATCAGCAATAACAAAATACACATTATCCTCATCGTCATACATGTCGCCAACATTTGTAGAATTTGAAGTCTCTTGAATTTCTTATTCTCTCTTTTCTTCAAGGTGCTTTGTTAGTTCGTCACAATTTCTCCTAATATGCCACTTCTTATGATAGTAATAGCACTCAATATCCTTCCTTGGGCCACGATTAGGAACGATCGTCTCTTTTATCGTAAAATCTCGCTCATGACTTGCTCCTACCCCAATTCGAATCTGACTGTGCCACTAAAACTTGTTCAGTATGAAATGTACTACTTGGCTTATTCATATTTGCAGTCTCTAACAAAGTAGTCAACACCTTATCCACATTCAACGTCGTTTTTTCAACTAAAAGTGTAGTCACCAAAGTCTCATATGATTTTGGTAGGGAGGCCAACATACCGCTTTATCTTCCTCATCAATTTTGACTTCTACACTTAACAATTGAGTTATGCACTTATTAAAATTATTTATATGATCACTAACATCAGTTTCCTCATCCATCTTCAAATCATACAATTACTTATTCAAATATAATCTATTTGTTAGGGATTTCGACATATAAACTTTTTTTAATTTTTTTTCATAACTCAAAAGGAGATGTTTCATTCATAACACTATATTTAACTTCAGGATCAAACTTAAACAAATTGCGCTTACCCTTCTCACTTCACAATTCTTCCCAACCTTCATCTTTCATATTTTATGACTTCTTTCCTTGCAGTGCTTTCAGTAATTCCTATTGAATTAAAGCATCTTTCACCGTACTCTATCATATGCTGAAATTACTCTTCTCGTTAAAACGCTTAATCTACTCAAAATTTATCTGAGACATCATCTTGACCTCTTTTTTTTTTTTCCTTTTAATCTTCACCACAGCTCTGATACCAGTTATTTAAGAAAACACACCCCTACACACACGCAGTAGAAAAAATAAATTGAAACAAAAGCAACAGAAAAATAGAGAAGACAAAGATTTTGGTGGTTCGAAAAAATTCCTACGTCCATGGAAGAGGGAGAAAAATTCACTAACAATCTCAGAATTACATACTCAACAAACTTTCTCACTTTCTCTCTCTACCCAAAACCCTTACACCATTTGCCTCTCTCCTCACTTTTCTCTCTTTCTCTTAAAAGGAAACTCTCTCTCTGCACTCCTCTCCCTAAGCACACAAAACCCCACACGAACAACTTATTTATAGACTCTTATGAGCTATAAAATAACTATTGCCCAAAAATAAAAAATAACAACTTACTTAAAAAAATACAAAATAATTACTTTCTCAAAATCAATTTGAAGCACTTACTTAACAGATATTGTGTATTGCAAAAACATCAGCTTAACCAGAAGTCTAAAAATGAATGTCAAAACCAATATAAAACAAGTATTTTTAGTGGTCATCGATAAAAATAATTTTTTTGAGGTAAAGTGAAGTTAAACTAATTAAATTTAGAGAAACGTAAACTATGTCACCGTCACACAAGTGTAGATATTTTTATTCTAAGCATTATAATTTACAGGCACATATAATTCTTATTTATTTATTGATTTTTTAATTATTTCAAGACATAATATTCACGCCTATGCAATATATTTCAAGACATGTAATGTCCATACTTATGCAATATTTTTTTTACTTGTATCTTACGCAGAACTCATGACCACGAGAACAAAACAATTTAGAAGTTTCATAATCAAATAAGCTGTTCCGAAAACTAGTATAAGTACGGGGAAGTCCCCCTCCAATCCCATCTCCCTCTCTCTTTAAATAGGGACGTAGTAAGGATTGCTATTGTTTCGGGGAACGGTGACAGATCAGGTACATTTTTCGACCATGGCTTAGTTTGGTATTATTATTTTTTTTCTAAAATCAGCTTCTACTTGTAGCATAAGCTGATTTTAGTGTTTAGTAAATTTCTTCAAAAGTGATTTTTAAAGAATTTTTTAAGAATCTACAACTCAAAATCAGAAACAGCCTAAACACAACTTTAACTTTTAGATTGTGTGGGAATCAGCATAGTACAATTAATGAAATTTTCATAATTTCAATAATACTCCTAATGAAATTTAAAATTTACAATCTTCCCAAGCTAAAATTCAGACTCGTAATATAATATAATATAATATAATAGTTATATTGTAACAAATAATATCATAATTATATTAATAACTCTAATATTATTATTTTATCATATAATATGATGTTATAATATTATTATAATTATTTTAATAATATTATATTAAAATAATATTATAATTATTTTAATAATATGATATTATAATAATAATATGATATTATAATTATTTTAATAATATGATTTTATAATAATATTATAATTATTTTAATAATATGATTTTATAATTATTATGTTATATAATATATTAATTATAATATATTTTTTTTAATATTATATAATAATGATTATATAATATAATATAATATATTATAATATAATATAGTTGTAATTTTTAATTATATTATAATTGAAACATTAATATTTCTTATGTAATATTATAATATATTTTATAATATTATAATTATATTAACCATTTTAATACTATTATTATATTTTATATCATAATTATATTATATGTTATTTAATAATAATTTTATTATATTATATTAAATATAATAATAAATATACATTATATTGTAATTATATATATATATTATATTATAGAATAATATAATATAATCATTATTTTTAATTATTTCAGTTATTATTTTAAAAATATTATTATATTTTATATCATAATTATATAATATATTATAAAATAATAGTTTTTTTATTATATTAAATATAATAATAAATATATATTATATTATATTGTAATTATATATATTATGTTATAATATAATATAATATAGTCGTAATTTTTAACTATCCATAACAATTTAACTTCATAATTTACCAAACGCTATTACACTGATTTTGAAACCAGCACAGCTATTATAATTATAATTTATCAAACACACAGCTGTTTTTTATAATATCTATTTTTTCTTTTAATACAGCTAAAAGTAATTTTTTCAAAATCTATTGAACTAAGCCCATGTCTTGTTGTCATTCCTAGCCTTCTCATATTTAAGATCCTAAAAGAAGAAAACCCAATGCTTGAACTTTTACCATAAACCCAATCACGGTAATCTTTTACTGCTGGGCGATCGTACTAGGTGGGTATAAAGGAATTTATTCCGGTTGTCCATCAACTTCATGAGAAAATCTTGTGGGTTCGCTGTGCAAATACACAAGATCTGTCTGGGGGACCATGTAAAAGACCTTTTCTTACAAGATGGTGCACTTCACATGGCTTCATCTATCAACATCCACGGTTCAAACAAAAGCAAATGGAAACTTGTAGAGCAGGAGAAGGCATATATTACGCTTTTAGCTTTATTTATTGGGAGTTTTTGTGATAATTTACTCTACTAATAGTTTTAATTTTTAGTTATTAAATTTAATTAAAATTACATAAAATATATGAAATAGATAAATTTTAATATTAATCTGACAGTTAAAAAATAAAAGAATATCAATAGCCTATTTTCACATAAACTACAAAAAAAAAAGTCTCTTATTTATTTTATTTTATTTTATTTTTTCATTTTCATACTAGTCACTTTATTGTGTGTCCCAATAGCCAAATGACATTTTTGTTTCCGTTTGTCACGCGCAAAAGTTTAGAGGTGATTCATAGAAGTGATGATAAATTAGTGAAAAGACGTCAGCCATTGGAAAAGAAGGTTCTCACAAAAGGGTTTTGTGCCAAAATGGTCGTAAAGTAAAAAGAAGGATAATAACACTTTATTCCCTTTTGACCACTCCTAGTTGTTTACCATCCAACGGTTGTGATTCGACCGACTTCCGTCGGCTTTATCAACTGTTGTAGATCATACGTACATCTATGTGTACGACTAATGTCGGTTGGAATTGAGACAAGTGTGATTCGTGGATTATAATTCATGGGGTATTTATAATTGGGTGGTCCACGAAGAATGCAAGGCAGCAAAATTTTTGTTCAGAAAATGGTTTAATATTCAGATCCCACAATGTAGTTGAGATAACAAAACCAGTAATAAAATAAGACTATAGAAGAGGTGATATGATTTTTTCGACATTTAAATGTGTTTATAGAGTTTTTTATTATCGGAATATGGTACACATATTTTCTTTTGAGTGTTTCGTAAATTAATGATAGGTTCGATTTATATCATGGAGTCAAGTCTTTTGTATTTTAGAATTATTCGTATTAGTATTAGTGTTTGTATTTCTTTTCCTTTTTTTAAAAAAAAGAATAAAACTAGAAGTAAAATAAGTAAATATCATACTAAATGTATATTAATATATAATATTCCATTGGTAGTAATTAGAAATGTTATTCAGTAGGCTGTAAAGTTTAGATTTTTATATTTATAAAATTTTATCGAAATTACAATTGTACTTGCCTTCACTATAGCCATGTCCCTATTTGATAAATAACTAATTATCTTTAATCTCCTTCATGATGTCCCAGTGGAAAATATTGTTGCTTCATCAATGATGGTGATTTTAAACGGTTTGACTTTAATCAAATCTTGATATTTTTCTTTTTAAAATAGAGTTTCGTTATTTTCATACAATCCAAGATCAAACACCTAGTACGATGAGCATCCCCTATTACAGTATCTTCCCATATATACTAAAATTTAAAGAGAAACAAGAAATTATGAAATATAGTTCATGAACTTAGGAACCACATGGGGAGCAAAGAAGGGGAAGATTTTCTATTTAATATTGATTAGGAAACTTCATTCACCTTCCCCTTTCCAAGGACACACCACATGTTACATGGTCATGAGTTGTGATGGAAACAAAAGGACCCTTTTGTTGATTTTTTTTTGTTTTTTTGTTAAAATTTTTTTTTTTTTTTTTTTTTTTTTTTTTTTTTGGTAGATGAGTACAAGCAAGGGCTATTAAAACAATTCCCATAATTCATTTCTTTTGGTGTTAGATTGAGTGTATCTTTAGGGATGGCCATTCCAAGATCTGCTTTGTCTTTAATGTTACACTAACTTATTTCATTTTCAGAGTTTTTGGTTAGTTTCTGATTTATTTTATTTTATTTTATATTTTTTTGCCCGTGACAGTTGCTGTCGTTTTCCCCTTCCTTTAATTTTTTCAGTTGTACCAAGACAAACTTCCATGTCTAAGCCATAATATAGATAACAAATGCTCAAATAGCCTCTTCTTTATAAGCCCTTTATCTTCTCTAAAAAAAAAAAAAAAAAGCCACGGAGAGAGAGAGAGAGATGAAGCATTTTCGTTTGGCTATTCTTCTTGTGGTGATTTTGGTCCATCAACAGATCAGCCTCCACAGTTTTGTTGAAGCAAGAAATGATGGTTTCATCAGAACTTGGGGACACCATTTTGTGTTGAATGGAAACCCATATTATGCCAATGGATTCAATGCCTATTGGTTAATGTACATGGCTTCTGACCCTTCACAAAGATATCTAGTTTCAAATGCTCTTAAAGAAGCCTCTAGCCATGGCCTAACTGTGGCTAGAACTTGGGCTTTCAGTGATGGAGGTTACAGACCTCTTCAGTATGCTCCTGGCTCCTACAATGAGCAAACTTTCAAGGTTCTTATTCACACTGACTCACCTTAGCTTTATATATATATATATATATATATAAAGATCTTGATTAGAAGTTTAAACATTGGTAATGATCTTTGGTTTTATAGGGGCTTGATTTTGTTGTGGCTGAGGCAAGAAAGCATGGGATCAAGCTAATCTTGAGTTTGGTGAACAACTATGAGAACTTTGGAGGGAAGAAGCAGTATGTGAACTGGGCTAGAAGTCATGGGCAGTATTTGACATCTGATGATGATTTCTTTAGAAACTCTGTTGTAAAGGGTTACTACAAAAATCATGTATCTGTAAGTTTTAGACCTTTTATTTTTTGTTTTTTCATTTTTTTTTTCTCTTGATATGTTCTCTTTTGTTTTATCTGAGGCAAAATTAATATTATTTTTTTTTATTGTATTGTGAGACTTATGTGATGTCCAATTTTAATTCATGTTTACTATTTTGCAGACTGTTCTGAACAGATACAACAGCTTCACTGGACTTCACTACAAAGATGACCCAACAATCATGGCTTGGGAGCTCATGAATGAGCCAAGATGCACTTCTGACCGTTCTGGAAGGACCATTCAGGTTTGGACACCATATCTCTCTCTCTCTTCTCTCTCTCTCTCTCTCTCTCTAATTAGTTTGGTCTACTTTCACCCAATTGCTCTAAAAGTCCAGAGATTGAGATAAAAAAAGGAAAGAAAATGTGGCCTTTGCCAGTACTAAGTTGGCAATTATGGCTGGTTCAGATCTGGTACAAGACCAATTAAGTCCTCTTTACAAGGGAAAGAAAACTTAGATCCCCTCAATAATAACCACAGATGACCAAACATTGATTTTAATGTTAATAACTTGTTTCAGCTACTTGCATTAATGTGTATATACAATGCCAGTAAATTCAGTTTGGTGGTCCTATGACAGGCATGGATAATGGAAATGGCAGCCCATGTCAAGTCCATAGACAGAAACCACTTACTTGAAGCTGGTTTGGAAGGGTTTTATGGGCAATCAACCCCTCAGAGGAAAAGCCTCAATCCTGGCTTTGATATTGGAACAGATTTTATTGCCAATAACCGAATCCACGGCATAGATTTCGCCACGGTTCATTGCTATCCTGATCAGTGGTAAGTACTTTGAAAATTTAATCAGTAAATGTTACCAACACAAGTTATATGAGGCCTTACTTTTTGTTAAAACTTTCTAATTGAGCAGGCTGTCTAGCTCAAATGATCAAAAACAACTTTCTTTCTTGAACAACTGGCTAGACACACACATCCAAGACGCGCAAAAAATTCTCCGAAAGCCATTGCTCCTAACAGAATTTGGAAAATCAGGGAAGGACCCCGGTTTCAACACCTATCAAAGAGACCAGCTCTTTAACACCGTATACTACAAGATCTACTCGTCGGCCAAAAGAGGAGGAGTTGCCGGTGGTAGCCTGTTCTGGCAGCTCCTAACCGAAGGCATGGACTCTTTTCGCGACGGATACGAGATAATTCTCAGCCAGAGTTCCTCAACTGCAAATATAATTTCCCAACAATCTCACAAGCTCTATCTGGTTCGCAGAATCTTCGCAAGGATGAGAAATGTTGAGAGGTGGAAGAAGGCAAGAGCAGCTAGAAGGGCTCAATGGATGAACAGAAACAAAGGCAAACGCATAGGAAACTGACGAAATGAAACTATTTAAATAAGAGAAATGGACATTAGTAATGTCATAAGCAATATATATACTTGTTTTTGAAGTAGTTTGTGTAGTTTTTCTTAAAGGGTGTCTCTCTTTGAGATGAGTTTTTTCTTCGTCCAGGAGGGTTGTTGCTAAGATTACCAAGTAATGTTTTGTCGGTCGTGTACTAGAATTTACGTTCAAGTGTTTCAAAGTGACATGTTTTTGAGGGCTCTCTGAACAAGGAGAGAGCCTCAGATTTGTTTTGTTTCACATTTTGTTTGTGTTGCTAAAGAATGAGAAAATATGCCTTATTGCTTCTGCTATTGCTCTTCTTTTTCAAGATGAAAAAAAAAAAAGAGAAGATAAAAATTGTTGGTGATTGTGAACTGTTGACCAAATTTATCATTGAATGGATTGGTATGGATGAAGCTTTCTTTCTTTCTTTCTTCTTCCTCTTCCTCTCTTCTATTTCTTTTTTTCGTGGTGTCTAATTATGTTTTGATAATTTATTGCTTTTCATCATAAAGCGAGCCTCCAATTTATTGAGTTATTAGAAAAGTTTAAGAGTAAAACATAGAGTTGTGAGGTGTGTGATTTTTTTTGTTAGCTCTATTTTATCGTAATATATTATTGCAACGGATAAACAAAGACGTAGTCTCATATTCATATTAAGACAAATCTCTATAAATTTGTGTTTTATTTTTATTTGATTTCTATTTTGTGATTTTATTGCTCTCAGAATTAGAGTTTCTAATTTTTAACATCAACTACAGTTGCGGCTGGGAAAAATTATGATTAGAGAGAGAGGAAATAACCTAGTTTATAGAGAATAAAAATTAGTGACAGAAATTTAAGAAAAATATACGAGTTTATACATAAATTTTGACTTTACTACATTTCCAAATTACTAAAATTACTGATAAAACTTGGGGAAATTTGAAAAAAGAATCAATAGAGGGGAAAGAATAGAGGAAGAAAAACAAAAGCAAAGAAGGGTAACATCAGAGTAACACAGAAATACAAACTTCAAAAATTCTATTTACTTCTGAAAAAATATTTAAAAGTATGTTATTTTTCTTGTTGTGATTATATTTCCAAACTTTTTAGGACTATGCATCACTTTTGGTATTCACACGTAACGGATTTATTTGAAAATCATGCTTCGACTTTTCATAGAGTCATGACTATCCAACAAAGTGAAATTAGTAAAATGATCTTCTTCTATTTTTTATAAAAGAAGACATTTATTCATTCTTTATAAAAAGAGGACATTTTACAGAAAAAATATTTAAAAGTATGTTATTTTTCTTTTTTTGATTATATTTCCAAACTTTTTAGGACTATGCATCACTTTTGGTATTCACACGTAACGGATTTATTTGAAAATCATGCTTCGACTTTTCATAGAGTCATGACTATCCAACAAAGTGAAATTAGTAAAATGATCTTCTATTTTTTATAAAAAAAGACATTTACTCATTCTTTATAAAAAAAGGACATTTTACAAATAAAATTTTTTGAGAAGTTATTTTACTAATAAAACTTTTCAAAAGAGTTATTTTTACAAAGGCTTTTGTGGGAAGGCATAACAGCTAATTCCTGCAAAGAAATTTGAGGCAACTTTTTTTTTTCTTTTTTTTTTTCTCTTCTCTTTCAAAGTTTTATCAGGTTTTCACCATACACCAACTAATTGACAAACGTGAAGTTGTTATGACTCTTTGCGCTTTGCATAAGAACCCAACGAAAGAAAATAAAACATGGTTTTCTTATCAGTCAGGCCTCGTATCAGGAGAATATTCACAGCACAAGCATTCTCTTCCACCGAACACGAAAACTTTCTGACTTCAGCGGGCGGACCGGACCAGTCATTCGAAGAAACCCATGTTGTGAATCATGTTGAAATGCACGAACTGAACTCTCGTTTAAAGGAGCTTGTGAAAACTGGTCATCTAAATGATGCTCGAAATTTGTTCGATGAAATGCCGCAAAGAGATGAAATTTCATGGACCAACATGATTTCTGGTTATGTGAATTATTCTCATGCCCCTGAGGCTTTGAAGTTATTCTCGATAATGAGGATTCGGCCGGAACTGAGATTGGACCCTTTTGTGCTTAGTCTTGCACTGAAGGCTTGTGGGCTAAGTATGAACTTGTACTGTGGGGCATTGTTACATGGGTGTTCGATAAAATCAGGTTTGGTCAATTCTGTTTTTGTGGGTAGTACGCTTCTTGATATGTATGCGAAAATGGGAAAAATTGAGCTGGGTTGTAGAGTATTTGATCACATGCCGGATAGAAATATAGTATCTTGGACTGCCATTATAAGTGGGCTTGTTCATGCTGGTTATAATGCTCAGGGCTTGTTTTACTTTTCCAAGATGTGGAAGTTGAAGGTGGAATGCGATGCATATGCGTATGCTATTGCGTTGAAGGCTTGTGCTGATTTGAGTGCGCTGATTCATGGGAAGGCGATTCACACGCAAACATTGAAGAAAGGGTTGAATGAGAGCTCATTTGTGGCCAACTCTCTTGCTACCATGTACAAGAAGTGTGGTAAATTGGACTATGGATTTCTCTTGTTTGATAAAATGGGAACGCCAGATGTTGTTTCGTGGACTTCAATCATTTCGACATACATTCAGATGGGTCGAGAGAAGGATGCGATTGAAGCCTTTATAAGAATGCGGGAAGATGGTGTGAGTCCTAATGACTATACCTTTGCTGCTTTGATCTCTGGATGTGCCAATCTAGCTAGAGTTGAATGGGGTGAACAGCTACATGCTCATGTGTTGTGTCGAGGCATGGCAGATTATTTATCAGTGGCGAATTCCATTATGGCCATGTACTCAAAATGTGGGCGTTTAGTTTCAACTTCAACGATCTTTCGAGGAATGAGCAAAAAAGATATTGTTTCTTGGAGCACTATAATCGCAGGGTATTCTCAAGTAGGCCATGGAGAAGAAGGTTTTGAGTACTTCTCATGGATGAGAAGGGAAGGACCAAAACCTAATGAGTTTGCTCTTTCTAGTTTGTTAAGTGTTTGTGGAAGCATGGCGATGCTAGAACAAGGGAAGCAATTGCATGCCCATGTCTTGTCTGTTGGATTGGAGCACAAATCTTTAATACAGAGTTCTCTGATTAATATGTATTCAAAATGTGGTAGTATAAAGGAAGCCTCAAAAATATTCGATGCAACAGAACAATACAATATAGTGTCATGGACAGCTATGATTGGTGGATATGCTGAACATGGATACAGTCAAGAAGCCATTGATTTGTTTGAAAAGATACCAAAGGTTGGTTTGAGACCTGACTGTGTAACCTTCATAGGTGCTCTTACTGCTTGTAGCCATGGTGGACTTGTTGGTCTTGGTTTTTACTACTTCAATATAATGTGTAGTAAATATCAGATCCATCCCTCGAAAGAACACTATGGTTGCATTATTGATCTTTTGTGTCGGGCTGGACGATTAAGTGATGCAGAGGAAATGATCAGAAGTATGCCATCTAAGCCAGATGATGTTGTATGGTCTATTCTGCTTAGAGCATGCGGGGTTCATGGTGATGTTGACCGTGGAAGACATGCTGCCGAGGAGATTCTAAAACTGGATCCACACTGTGCAGTGACTCACATCATCTTGGCTAAGCTATACGCTGCCAAAGGGAAGTGGCAGGAATCGGCTGAAGTGAGGAAGATTTTGAAATCGAAGGGTCTGATTAAAGAGCCAGGATGGTCTTGGATAGAGGTTAAGGATCAGATTTCTACATTTGTTGCCGGTGACAGGTCTCATCCACAATGCGAAGAGATCTACAATCTGTTGGAACTACTTGTTTCAAAGCCAGAAAATGGGACTGAAGAATTGGTTTATGAATTGGTTGATGTTGCGGATTAGCGTTTATACATTCAAAATAAATCTGCTAGGACTACCAATGAGCAAGGTGGTAGGAGCTTCTTTTGGTCATCCATGGCTGTGTTATATCGTAATGCATCTTTACAAATTATCATGGGTTATATTTTGAGTTGGAAAATGTGCGAGCAAGAGACATCTAGACAACATTTATAGCCAAATTAAGAGTGGGAGGGTGAGGGGGCGGCGGCGGCCGGGGTGTGGAAGCACTCAGATAAGGTTAGGGCGACGACCCTTTGATGCTTAAGCAGAGCCCTTGTGCATTTACAAAAGGTGAACAATTTTCCTGTACAGTTTATTGAAATTTATTCATTCTTGAATACCAATTGTATGAATTTCTTTTCTCCTTTTCTACTTCGTATGACAGTAAACAAACCGGTCAGTTCTCTCTTATTTCACCACTCTTTCACATGTTTTTTTTAACTAGCATTCTAAAGCAGAGTTCTTAATATTATGTTGTAAAATCTTCTAATCCTAAGATAATGTCTTCACGTCAAATACTGTCAAATATCAGTACCAGGTCTGATTCTTCGGCATCTGGAGCGACGTTTACACAAACCAAAGTCAAAACTGACATGAAGGGCAATCAGAGTAAGTGGAGAAAATTTAAATAAGAATCGTATTCCGATATAGTTGTATAAGAATTGCATTGAGCTTACAATTATATGTCATTTAGGGAATTCCTCAATCATCTCTAAGCCAATTCTGATACACATACAAAAGAAATCCCAGGCAAAATGCAGCAGCCCCCGAAATGACAATAATTCGAACCCATAAAGAGGAGTCAAAAGCTTGCAACACAAAAGCATTCCAGGACCAGCACCAAAAAACAGAGAAAACTGAACCTATAACAGCTCCCACAACCACTTGACTTAGCGTGTGAAGTTGTTGCGAGACCCGCAACCACGACTGCAATCACAGATACAGAAAGCCATATTAACCACCAAGTGGAGCAACAGAAAGCTCAAATACACAGAAAGGAATTAGCCAGATAGATGGCTTACAAGATATGAACCAAATGCCAAGGCAACTCCACTGATTGCCACTGTAGCATCATTTATCCCTAGCCATTCCACGACTGTCACACAAGAAGAACAACACATCACAATAGTTACATAAAGCTAGTGAAAAGCGTGCATAATAGGGAATGGGAACATGGAAAATTACCTGACAAAATAGAAACTGTGACAATGAAGAAAATGGATTGTGCATGTGAAGAAGGCATTCCGGGGTCTGATTTTAATGCCGAGGCGGGTCGCTCTTGGTTTATTATCCGTTTAAGGGCAACGGATAATACCGTATTTATAACGGATCCCATGGTAATCCACACGGCTTCTGCATCATGCCTCCACAAGATCACCCCAGCAAAAACCCCAGACATTACCCACTTGCTCTGTCCAAAAGCAAACATTAGCCATAACCATCATAAAAAAGAAATAAGAAACCCAACTGTTTCTCAAGATGTTCATTTTTTTGGTAAAATTATCATTCTGGTAACAAAAGGGTACAAAGGATATTTTCATGCCTGAAGACTGTAAGGTACCAGACCATTGTTCTTTTTACAATTCGAATCATAACTGAAAACTTTATTACAATATTTTCTCATAAAAATTTAAATTTAACTTTTTTATTATGATATTTTCTCTTATATAAGTTAACTTTTCAACTCAAGTTCATAACTTAAACTCGCGAAAACAACGGCCCGTAACTCAATACTTGTAAACGGTAACTAGTCGGCTAAAAGTTACTGCATTCGTTCGTAACCTCGTTTATTATAAAAATATGGATTCAAACAATAATTTCGAATTAGAAAATATCAAACTAATACAAAATTGACCATGCTTCATATATCAGACAACATATGTTAAAAAGGAGCTAAACTTTAGAACATAGAAATTACCAACCAGTCGATTGAGGATCGTTTCCAGCTTATTACTCACAAGCCTACCACGAAACTCAGAGGACCCATCAACGAAAGCTTCTTGTTCCAGCGTTTTAATGGCTTCATCGCCATTAGTGCGGTCCCTAAAAGCAGTCAGTTCAAACATGGCCTTTTTGGGACCCAAGACAACTAAGCAGCCGTTTTTCTCTGACAGGCCTTTCTTGGAGAAAACCAAATTCGGTGTTGGGAAACAAGGAAACGTTGGAGAAGAAGATTTAAAGGGTTTGGAGGATTTAAGGCCGAGAAAGAGTTTGAGATTGGGCTGCTGAAACTGAGTGGCCGTGGTTGACATTTTTAGGTCCAAATGGGGAACTAGAGAAAAACCGTGCGTCTTTCTGCTAATTAAAAGTGTCGTTGGAGAACAAAGGAAAATTTTAACAGAAATAAAAATAATAAATGAATAGATAAATAGATAAATAAATAAATAAACAAATAGCATGAGGATATTGTGCGTCCTCTAATGAATGAGAATCATGGGAATGGTTGACAAAAGTCCAAATCTGTCGTCCAGTTTTCGATGACAATTCTAGAAATAGCACATGACAGATCATATTAGAGTTTTTATTATTGTTGAGAGTGTAGCCAAAAAATGTTTTAACGCTTCAAGAATTCTATGGCAAAGGAAAAAAGAAAAGAAAAAAAAAAACACACACACACACACACGTTATTTATGGTGTAATCTTTTGAATGATCATATTTTTATGATGGGTGGTTCTATTTACCCTTTTTTACTCTCCACATATCTTTCATTTTAAATTTTCTTATAATAAAAAGACCCTAATGATAAAAAAATTATTTAATTTAATTTAATTTAAAAAATAAACTAATTTGTAGTTGTTATCTCTCTCTCACACATCACATGTTATATTCAGTGGTGGTGCCAGCCATCATTTCAGTGGGGTGTGAATTTTTTTTTTTTTTTTTTTTTTTTTTTTTTTTTTTTAAATAAATAACATGAATATAAAAAAATTGTATTATGGTACTTTTTCTTGCCAAATACATATATAGAGAATTTTACAATATGAAAAATTAAAAACTGTCGATACCTTAAAAAGTCGTGTTTATATTAAAAAAAAATTGTTTTTCATATGTTTTACTTTAATATGATTTTAATTAGATCAATAAAAATACCCTACCATAGATTTTTTTTTTGAGGTTATAGAAAATCATACCTGATGTTTTGGAGTTTATCTTATCTATAACTTTTAGATTTCAAATTTATGCTCACTTCTTACTTATCCAACCATCAATCACTAGTCAATTTTAACCAAAAATCGATCTAAACACCCTCAATAAAAAATAAAGGAAAAAAATGTGAACTATGAGGATATTTGGTATTTCTCATAGCTAAAATAAATTTTTGACCGAAAATAGGTAAATATTTAACATGATTTGAAATGTGAAGTTATAAATGAGATACAATTCAAGATATGAATTAAATGTTTTTTAATCTCAAAATGCAAGGTATAAAGAAAAAAAAAAGCTCACAAACATATGAATGAGTAAAATTGTTGATAGAGGACATATAGAAAATAAAAAAATAAGTTTAGTGGGGGCTTATATAAAAATATAAAATTTTAGTAGGGACAAATTTAAAATGTTAAAATTTTTAAGGGGTCAAATTTTAGTTTTAAAAAAGTCAGCCGCCCCCACTCGTTCCCACGTAGCTCCACTAGTGGTTATATCCTGAACTATAAACTATTGATATTTTAAAATTTATAAAAAAAATTCTAACTTTCACCTTTCAATGACTATTCTAAAAAGTTGCATTAATATAATGTTAATTTTTTTTTATTGGCTGTATGATGATGTTTATTTTTATTTTTTTTTCATTTCATATTTATATTTTTTAAAATTATTTTATAGACTAATCACTTTGTTTTTTTATTTCGGTTTTTTATAAAGCCTGATTGATTTTTTTTTCGGTTTCATCTTCTATTTGTTTTTTTTTTTTTCTGTGTTTGTTTTTATTTTGGAAAAAAGGCTTCACGCCTAAAACTTCAAAAAAAAGAAAAGAAGATGAAGGGATAGAGAAATAATACTATTTAAATAATAAAATAAAATAAAATGGTGGGTGTGAAAAGTAAATTAAAGTGGATAAGAATTAATTATTTTATAAAAATAATTAAGGGTAATCTTAGAATGATAGGGGTGTGTAAAAAATAAATTTAGTTCTTTTAAAATTATGTGAGGTGTGTATTTAAAAAGAGAACATGGAGAATAAAAAATGCGTGTGAATGTTGATTTTAGAAATAGACGCAATATTATTTTGGATTAAATTTGAAAATTTCGTTTGAATTATAGTATTTATATATGTCTAGGAATTTTAAAAATGAGACCTCCATTTTTTCCTTCTTAAATCTAAAAACATCTTCATTAGTCTTTTTTTAAACAAAAAAAAAAATGTAACATATGGGTCGAGTGTTCGTTCGCTTGGCAAGTTCATCAGGTTTTGAACTTATGAACAAGTTTGAATTGATATTTAGTTCAATTGTTTTAACCAGGATTGTTGGCTTTAGAATCCATTTTAGAGAACTTAACCCCTTTAAATTCTCATTGGCTTGAACTTATTTACTATAATATTTCTGGTTTAAAATATAATTGTATTTTTATGAGAAAATGAGACAAATATCATTTAAAGTGTATGAATCTAGATTTGAAAATCCAAGTTAGACCCAAATAAATACACAAACTACACAAAAGACAAGCACCACAAGGAGTCTAAACAGTTGTAACGGCCATAAACCATATAATTGAAGCCGACAAATATTAATGGAATCCTTGCCTTACAAGAAAAAAAAAATGAAATGTCTCTTTATTTTTTATATAGTAGTCTTTAAACTTTTCTTTTTCGATAGTTTTAGTTGCTGTTAGTAAAATTGATAAATAATTTTTAAAATTTAACGTAGATAATCACATTTTTTCTCATAATTATAGAAACTTTTACATAAATAATTACAGTATTTACAAAATGTTACAATTTTTAATAGGTTTTAATAGTAATAAACTAAAATTTACATATAATGTAACTTTTTTTTGTGTAAAATTTTAACTTATCACATGGATAGATAATTATCTTTGTTAAATTTCAAAAATAATTTGTCAATTTATTGTTAGGGACTAAAATTGTCAAAAAAATGAAATTTCAAAAATGAATATGCCAAAATTAAAAGTTTAGTGATCAAAATGTCACTATATTTAAACTTCATAGAGTCAATTACTCTTAAAAAATTCAATTCCTTATTTCATATAAATAGTTTCATAATTTGAGAGACAACTCACAATATCATATCAGATTTTAAGAAAATAAATTACAAATTTTAACAAAATACACACAAAAAAAAAAAAAAAAAAATCAAGTGGGTCGATCTACCACTCTTCTGGAGGTGTGACTTTGTCTAGGACTCCAAGGATTGATTGTTTTCTATCGGAGTTCGTGAACTGACATACCAGCCCTATCCAACCTCACCTTGGCTTCGTCTTCACTTATCAAATATTATATAAATTTCCTCAAATATGTGTTTACACACACGAGTTTTCAATTACATTAATATTGTAATTACTTATTAAATATAAAAATTTAATAATGTGACGCGATAAAATTTTAATCTTATTAATTATCATAATTTTTTTAATTAAAATATCTAATTTATTATAACAGTTAGATGGATATTCTATGACTAAATTAATAATATCTATTAATAAATAAGTATTAAATTAATCATTAGAATCATAGTCCACCCATATAATTTTTCAATTCGAATTAAAATGTAATTTTATGTTTTTTTACTGTAACAGAAAAAAAATTATATATAATTTTTTATGAAAATTTTTAACTCTAATAAAATTAAAATTAAAAACTTAAATTAATAAAATGATCTCGTAGCGTTTTTTGTTTTTTTGTTTGTTTTTTAGGCTGACGACAACCCCCGGGAAGAGGTACATCTAAGTTTGGGCCTTTTCTCCTCCTTTCTACTCAGATCTTATATGGGCTTACGACTTTCATGTAAGCCCAATAAGTCTATGTGTTGGTTTGTCTGGTCGCTCGTGCACCAGTTTGAATATTTATATCTTAATTTTAATTAATATCTTTTTAATAAAATAACTATATTAATTAAAAAAATATTAATTAAAAATAAGAATAAGCTGATGAATAATTCTTTCTAGAAGAAAATTACATATACTACCTATCACTGATTTTTCTATCTTTATATTTATGCTACTCAAAATATAAATTTATACCACTTAAAATTATTTTTTACTAATTTAATAAAAGGCGTGTTTATACTGTGCGACTTCGATAACAAAAACATTAGTTAGTATTATTTTGAGTCGAAATTTTTTATGTTTTTCCCTAAATATACTTTCACACTCTTGGATATTGAAACTTCTTTTCTATACCTCTATCTCCTATTACGAATGGAAAAGTAATAAAGTAAAAAATAACAATAAACTAAAGGTTAACCGTTAAATTATGCTTGCGACGACAACAATTAGTTCTGAATTCTGATATGTTAATACGCCAAATTAATGGTTGAGTTTTAAGAGGTCAATGTCGATCTTTATATGGAGAAGAACCTCAATAGACCTGCCACATAAGCTGCTTAGTAAGGCATAAAACTCATAACCAATCACCGGAGTTTTAACACAAAACTAAACAAAAGTGTCTCCCAACAAGCAATTTTACATGTATTCTCCACGTCTTTACAGGCAAGAAAGTCCCATTTATCTTGTTTTAAAAGGCTTCTACTTTGTATGAAAATCACTTTTAAAATCTTTACAAATAGTGAGGAATCAGTACAACTCTCAATGCCTTGCTGTTCCGGAGAAGAAATTCCCACCACTATAGTATATACCACTTTTTGATAGTACTATTTACTTCTTTTTAACTCTCGTGCCATTTGGATAATAAGTTTTTTTTTTTTATAGCTCGTCTATTTGATAAATTGGAAAAGGGTAAAAAAGTTCATTTCGTGTAGATTTGTTTCAAAATGCATGCCTTGGTGGAGATGTTTCAAAAAAGAAAAAAGTGGATACAATGAAAAAAAAAGTGGAAACAATGATACAACGTTGCTTGAGTAAAAAATAAAAAAAAAAAAAAAAAAAAATTAAGGCTGTTTAGCACCTATGGCCATAAATTTTTTTATGGTTTGGTATTTTTGTTATTCAACTTTTTTCTTGACCATTTGGTCTTTAAATCTATGAAATCGTTGGAATCATTCCTTGTCCGTTCTTTTCAGTATAATACATACCACAAAACTTGAATTAGGAATAGATAAGCTATATCAAAGAAAGCTTTGTGTGTAGTAATAGGCGCGTCATTTCGTAATATGCCAATTTGGCATGCTACTAATCCAAGTCCCGCAAT